TTTATATGTCATGCACGTTAAAGTCTCCCGCGATAAGAATGTCGGTGTAGGACTTGTTCAAAGCAAACTGGAAAACGTGGTTCAGTTTGGAGTCCATTTCCGAAGTTGAGTTTGGTGGGCGATAAATCACGGCTAGTAGGCATGTGTCCTTGTTTCGCAACCATAGGCGGCACCAAAGCGAATCGGGAACTCGGATTTCCGGGTGATCGATAACTTCATATCGGAGGTTTGTATTATAATAAAGAATCACACCGCCCCCCTTCCGGTTCTATCCGTTCGAAGCAGCGACATACCGGGTAAATTGATCTCAGAATCGGTTATCTCAGGGTTTAACCATGTCTCTGTAATCATGACGAGGTCCCGCGGTTGTGAGGCATGGAGTTCTCTAAGTTCTGCCAACTTGCTTAGAAGGCCTTGGGCGTTTGTGTACATGCAAGATAGGGCTTTTGTTGTTAGGAGTTCATTGATAGATGTCAAGTTTGTGTTAGTTTTAAGCCGGCCGTTAGGTGGCCGGCCATTAATCGTTTTTTTGGTTTATGTATTTCAGTCGTGTTGCATGGCATTATTGAGCGTTCCTGAACAGACGTTTCACTCGTGCTGTGCTCGGTCCTCCTGTGTGCCGTGGGCGCTGTTGTGTCGGTCTCTCCGCAGGACTGTGCAAATAAAGAATTTGTTGTGTTTGCAAGTTCCATTGGATTGCTTCCGACTTTTGGTCGTTCGCCTGCTGCCTTTGGCCGGACCTCTGTTGGCAACCTAGCTCGAAACTTTAACCAGCTATCCAACAGAGCTTGCGTCATTCCCTCGGAGTGTAGTATTACTTTCATTAGCCTTGGGCCGCTGCCCTTGTAGTTAGGTGATGACGGAACTCTTGTCAGGGATTTGGCAATAACATTGTCAACAGAGAGTGCTTCGCGGATGTAGCACCACTGCTCTCGGTCATGTGTTTGCGCATCGTGATCAGAAGAATGCAGAAGCTCGGAAACACCATGAACAAATATTGTTTTCTTGCTATCCCTATTAGCAATGCCGCGTTGGTCAACTGCTTCTTTTGGGCGATCTTTCCAAGGTAGATCAGGCAATATGCGTACTCCGCTCGGTGAGTTGCGAAGATGAGCTGCTGAGAGCAGACAGCCTCTGTCTCATCTGCTGAGTTTAGTGTTACTCGAAGAATTCGAGGTTCACCAGAGTGCACTGAGGTCGGGTGACGCGCTACGCGTTGCAGCATTGCAGGCTCAACCCGAATGCTAATCGCCTCGCAGATGGAACTCCACTGGTTGCGATCGTCTTGCAACTTGCCTTTTATTGTTCCAGATTTGGATTCGGGAACATTGGTGCACACGAGAGTTAACGCAGCGTGGTTTTGTCTAGCGAGTGTTGGCTTTATACTTTTGCCGGCAATTCGGGCACCACTGGAGTTGACGGTGAAAGCTGCTATGCGCCACGCGTGCTCGGTACTGAAGATGGACCTATGTGTGTCGCTCCCGGTGTTTGTCGAGGCAATCGATGCGTACGTTACCTGCTTGTTATCTGCACCGGATTTCCTACGGCTCTGAGCTGTCGGTGTCATGGATGAATCTCCAAGTGAAGCCTCTATGGTTGGAGAAGTGGAAGCAGGCATGTTTGAGGCTTGCCCACTTATGGGAGTGAGGTGACCCAGTGGATTTAGAGTCACAGACCCTGCCTTGCGGTTGGAGCGTCTAGCTCTTTTCTTCGGTTTAGACTCAGAGCTTACTTTGGCCAGGTGAGGTATTATCGTGGCCATATTTACCTCCGAGGGAGCGATCTTAGTATGTACAAATTGCGCGATTATTTCAGTCATCCTATCGCATTTTTCATGAGCAGAGATAAACAGTTGACAACTGGAATGACTTGACATATTGGGCAAAAACAAATTGTGTCAGTAACTTGGTTTGTCTGTCTCACTTCTTGGACGGATTTGTCTGCACATTGCGGACAGTACGATCTAATGTAGCTAGAACAGGTAATACTGATCTTAAGCACTTTACTGCAGTTGTCTGCGCAACATAGGCGACGTTGAACCATTGGAATGCTAGTCGTCCTCTTATTGTTTACAGCAAAGCCTGTCTAAGCGCTCACCTTGATAAGTGTACTTTGCATTATGGGTGACGCATTATAAGGTCAGAACACGCACACGAATAGATAGTTGTTCAACCTCACCAAGGTCAGGTGAAGAGGCAGATGGAGGTCGTGACGCGCAGACTGTGGGATTCAGCGATCAATCGACTCGCAGTGGTATACACACACCCACACAAAGCGGCAGCGTGTGTTAATCGGCCTGCCTTAGGCGACGATGCAGGTGGAGCGCTGATAAGCGTCCCTAGAGCTGCTCAGTTGATGAGCGGAGCAAAAAGTCTGTAACTTTGTTATGCTGCAACTTGCAAGGATGGTTGCCGCGTAGTTTGGAGTCCACAACTTCTTCTTCCGAATGAGACCAAAATCTTCCGAAAGACCGGTTTGATGTAGTTACACAAGTGGAATTCGACAAAGAATATGCCGAAAACTGGGAACTGGAGCAAGAGTGTAATCCACACAGGTTAGATCCAGGAGTTGGGAAGCACTGAGTAGAGCTCGTCGAACTGGTTCGAACGAGCGCAAGCACAATATTGTGTGGGGAGAATTGGAGTCACCACAGAGGGCAAAGCTGAGAGGTGTTAAAGTGCGGCCGCACGGTAGGGTGTCACAGGCGCACGAACAGCAAAGCGCATGCGCGCGCAAGATACGCCACACGTACACTAACGTGTGGACGTTCAAGGTTAGAGAATGCAAAACGCAATCGAGCTTGCAGAGCCAAGTGCGGCATTGCGGTGTGAGCGGTCCCGTTCAATTGGTTAGACGCAGTGTATCACTCAAACTGTCGAAGCTGAGAGGCGACATGAAGGAGCCAAACATAGCTGTGATAACGCGGTGATAATGCATGAACGTGTTCAAACAGAATGGGGTCATGCAATGCCCTGATCGAAAGTGCATTAGTGCGAAGGACGTAAACACAGGGCTAGGATCGGCGTGTGAATTAGTTGGGCCGGATCCGGCCCACGGGCCGAAGGTTGGGAACCTCTGGTCTAGATCATCGAATGCTCCTTTCCAAGCTACGGCGTCATGGGATCGGTGACCGTCTTCCAAGCTGGATCACCAACTATTTCCATCGACGGCAATTGATAGTCAGAGTTCGGAACTCCTTCTCTGACCCCATACAACTTTAATGTGGGGTGCCGCAAGGTCGGTGCTAGGCCATCGATTGTTTTTAGTACTTATCAATGATCACACACAGGCAACTACATCGAACATCCAGCTGTTTGCCGATGACTTTAAGAGTTTGCTCAAGGTTCACGGGAATACTGATTAGCAACTGTTTCACAGTGATCTAAACACGGTACATCTGTGATCCATCAAAAATTCACTGCAATTCAATGTGAGTAAATGCAAGGTGGTCTCCATAAGACACCAGAGCCACCATGGTTACAGGCTCGGAACGTATGTGTTGCAGACAGCTGTGATATGGGCGTACAGGTTCAGGATGATCTAGGTTGTTCCAGGGAATCTGCGAAAGCCTCAAAAACTGGTAAGCAACATGGCCTGTTACGACGGGCGTTCAGACAAATAGATCGCTCTAGTTTCCGGCAGATTCTTAGTGCGTATGTTCATCCTCATGTCGAATATGCAATTCAAGCCTAGCACTCATGGCTAAAGTACGACCTTAGTGCATTGGAGCAGCCCTAACGTCGTGTATCAAAGTATGTTATTGGAATGCAGCATCTTCCATACGAGGAGAGAGGGGAACGATTGGGGTATTCAGCGGACGTTACCGCTGCTTACGAGGTGACTTGCTGATAGTATACTTAATTCTGCGTGATACAAATCATGTGTGCCGCTCTTTACTGCAACTCAGCAGTAATACCAATTTGAGAGGACACTTATTAAGACTGACAGAACAGTACAGCCGCCTGGATTGCCACAGGCATTTCTTTTTCGTACGCGTGTATCGCTCGTGGAATGCTCTTCCAGAATCGGTCATATCTGCAACATCCCTATTCATATTTAAAAGAGGTTTGGACGAATCACTTACTCACCTACATCTTGTTACTTAGTACTACATTTCCATCCCATTCCTGGAATATACGTTGGATTTATTTGCTGCTACCTTTGTGTTGTGAAACTGCACGTATCGCAGGACTACAGCGAAACAAATGATAAATCCCCCTTTTAAACGTAAGTAACCCACTGCTTTTTTATTTTTCGAAAAACATGCAAATCCACCCAAAGGGACGTGTAAATCAGTGCATGTTAACCCATATAAATCCATTGTTCATTTGTTAACAGCTTCAAAAGTCTGGCTGAAATCTAGATAGCAATGTTCTACTGAAATCCCATAGTCTAGACAGCGATTAATCTCAACCAAAAAGCGATAGCGGGGGAATTCTTCTACCCCACGAAATTTGGACTGCGCGCGGTAGATCAGAGAACGTCATCCTTGCGAATCGGACATCACAAACTACTGTGTATAGTTCCAAGTTTAGTCTATGTACCGCCGGAGGGAGTACAAGAGGCGGTACATCCAGCGTTCGAACCCAGGCCGTACGGCTGACAATCCGGAATGCTACAACTAGGCTATATCCGGATGATGCCTGCCGCTTATATGTTAGCCGAAAAACCGTCAATCAAAGCAAAAGTTTGCAAGATCAAAGCTTTTCACAATTTTTAAAGTTTTATAGTTATCGAAGCTGTATAACACCATTTCAGCATTTATTTCGCCATTTTTTCGCGTAATTTGGTCGCTACAGACGGCAGAAGAATAGCCCACTGCCACAAACAGCACAGCAGACTGTTGTAACAAATCAGATTGCTATCAACGCTACAGAATGAAGTGCTAGTTTCAAACAAAAGACTGGGAGGTCGACTTAAGAACTAAATGTAACGCGTTAGTTAGGATTCGTTTTGATCAATATTCACGTTCGGCATTTCTCAGACCAAATAGCATGTCCGTCAAACTAAATCGGCGCGCGGTGTTCAAAATTTTGCCCTAATTTGCTACTTTCCAATGGGCGTTGGGAGCAGTACGCCTTCTTTCTTGTCTGCCAGTGAATTTTTGAAGAGATACGTGAGCGAACAGGTAGTTGCATCAGATGACGCCATGTTTATGGAGTTTTCTACATTTTCCTGGGGTCGGTACGTTTCTTGATGACGCGCGTCACTGGTTTTCTAGTCATATCTCTGAGGGCGTGGAAACAATCGAGCCTTCATTGCTGGATGAATTCAGAAAGAACAACCTGAACACACATAACCTTTCGTCTTTGATGAAATTCATTATTTCTAAGGGAACTGAGCTCATCGGTACATCTGCCGACCAAACTACCATGCAGTATGCATTTAAGGCGTTTGTGATTTCCCCCCAGTGATACTGCATTGCTATCAGCGCTACAGAATGCATTTCTGGTTTTCAAACTTTCCGTCATGTGTTTGCTGGAGGGCACCACTGAAGAAGGATTTTTGAGTCACCTAAGTACTGACTCATCTGATGGTAACGCTGGTATTGTCTTTGAAATTATTCGTATTTAGCGTCCTCCCTGATGGAATGCTTCCTTCAAGTACTGCTAAATTTGATTGTAAATATCAACATAGCGTAAGCCATCAATTACCGGCATCTTTTTGTTTCAGGAACGATACATACCCTCTGCATTGCGAAGTGGTCACCACTCTCATAGTTCTTCTTGCGCGACAAATGCACCAGACTATTTCTTCACCTTTGCCTCTGGTGTTCTGCTGTCTTCTGGGGGGTAAATGGTAAGCTTTAGTCTGATGCCTTTTCGGCTCCCGCATATGTTTGCTTTATTTTTATCATTATAACTTCGTTGTCCTATCCAAACTTCACAAAGCTTTTAAAAATGCGGTACATGCAAAGTGATTCGACTTCCTCCCTTGGGTTTTCATATAACATTACTTGCATATATCGAGATTTTAAAAACCCAAACATGCCTTGGTATGGTATCTGCGCACTGGTCAACAACCTGTTTTCGCCGTGGGAAAACAGGTACTCACTGCAAGGGTTAGGAAGGTTTAAAAGGTATATGCGTTGTGTGGGCAGAGCTCTTCCCGGTTGCCCTGGCCGAGAAAGTGGGTTGATCTCACCCCGAGTCTTTGGCCATAAAAACCTGACCCGCGAGGCAGCGGGGTGATTAACGAAGACTATTAACATCCGGGTGGCTCATTCATCTTTGTGTTCGATAGCTGTCCACAGAGAAACCGGTGGCCAGCAAGATTTTTCACCCGCCCTCCATTAGGTACTCACCTCTGGTTACAGAATTGTGGTCAGTAAAACTATAGCAGGTCACATTGGCTTTAACAGCGCTGCACGAGCTCTTGTGGTATTTGTTGGATAACCAGGTGACCAGTTCAGAACTCCCCACGCTCTGTGACGCTGCCGCTGATTGTCCGCGACTTCTTATTCCTTTCGCCTGTAAGGCGAACGAGACTTATTCGCAGTTACCTCCACGAGGAAGTCATTCCTCAATTCGCAACCTGAGGACGCGCCCGATAGGGTACAGCTCCGCCACGGGACACTGTTACGTTCCCATATCAGGTTTTTAGTCCATTTCACTGCGTTGCTAATCATATATTAGCACCCACCTGCATTACCTTGCAGAGACTGCACTTTACCTTGGTGCGACGGTTTACGATTAAGGGCGACTCCTTATTCCTTAAAGTGGACTCATTGTAGTTCAGTCAAACCCTCTGTCTCGCGGTCAGGTTTTTGAGCCATTGACTAGTTGAGAACCCTAATCGTTCTCCTGGGCGACCTGTCAGTATCCTGCCCACGCAATAGAATGACTTTATCTTCAAAGCTTTTCTTGTGGTTCTGGCCGTTACAGATTATAATAAACGGTGCCCTACTTGCTGTATGCAGCTGGGTGGATAGGGTTGTCGTCGTTACTGCTCTAGCTTTCCCCTCTTCTACTTCCTTCCCTTACGCTTCTTCACCCATTTCCCTTTTATCCTTTCGGTTTTCAACCCCCAATTCTTTTCCCTCTATCACCTTGCATTGATAGGCTTTTGTCTTTTAGTTTCAACTCACATGCAAACGCGGAGCATCACTCCTGCCCTGTCGCTAAGCCCATGTCCAACGAAGTGGTGAAGCTCAGTTCATCAGCGTTTATTTTGAACCCTCGATCCTCCCTCATATTGGCGTACCCCAATGTACGCACCTGGTTACAGATCGGTCCAGAGTCAGCACTTTCCCGAACATTAGAGACACTTTCGATCAATATCTGCCGCTTATCGGAGACCCGCCTGCAAGATACGAGCCCTGTGCTTGCTTTGCGATCACCTTGCGACACTAACAGTGCTTTTTCGTTGTGGCTTTATTGAGACGATGCAGCTTCTAGTGCCGGCCAAGCCGATGTTGGTATTGCCCTGAGTCCCCGGGCTGAAGTTTCTCTGTTTGATTGGATCCCACTCAGTAGCCAGATGCCTGCGATCTGACTGGCTGCTTCGTTCAAAGCTTCCAAGTCGCGCGGGGCTAATAGGTATCTGTTTGTCATTGCGGCATACGCCCCCACAAACTGTAGCGATGACTCGGTAAAAGAGGACTTCTATTGCCAACTGAACTAGCTCCTTCTCCACAAAAGAAGCACGAACACTAGTGCTGGCTGGGGACCTGTACGCTCAAGTCGGGAAATTGCCAACTCCTGAACTGCATCTGGTCGCCTAGCATGGTGTAAGCTCCCGTAATGATAACGGTGAGCGATTACTTCATTGATGTGAAGATGCTCGCTTATTTCTTGTGAGCACAAACTTCCGATACAGCACCCGCCGGAGGGTGACGTGACGCCCACCAGCCTTAGCTCAGCCATGGACGCAAACCACCTTGCGCTAAATTACCGGTGCAGAGACTGCGTCCAGAACTGTTGCTCCATTTGGAGTGAATGTGTGGACGCTGACCATGCACTTGTATGTGCTGATCTGCGAGTGCGTTTTGGTGGACACTGACTACCCTGTGAGCGCATAGACACAACCCATCTAGCGAAGCCAGATGTTCTGAGTGCATATCGAAGTACGCTGGCATTCGGGTTGTGTTAACGCTCACTGAGTAGAGTTGAAGGCCACATGTTCACCAAACCTTACTAGCAGCAGCCAGATTCTCGTTGTAACTCTACTATCCAAAGTAAACATTCGGTCTTTTCGCAGTCTCTGGAACTTATTGATTCTCCCCGACACATTCCGGCCGATGTTGAACACAGTGAAATTCGCAAAGGCCTCATGGCCAAATTGCGTGCTAGCCTGAAGAGAGACCGCGAATGCTGGTGGTCACATCGTGCGTCATAGGTGAAAGTCTCCGCTGTTCTTGGTAACCATCATAAGTTATTTCGGCTGCTACGGGAAACGAGTAGCAGGAAACCTGGTGTTAGCGAAACCATGTGTGACGAGAGTGGACAGCCTAGCTCTAGCTTGTCAAAACGTTTGGAGTCTTGGGCTGAGCACTTTGAAAGGCAGTTTAATCGGCCGGAATTGTTAGATTCCTCGCCGGCCAGTGATCGATCCGCTCCGTCGGCTGTTCCTTTATTATCCACCCTCGCTAGAAAGTCGTATGTGAGATTGGGTTGGCCGTTGGACCAGATGATCTTCCTCCAGCCCTCATCAAATTCGGGGGATCTGCACTTATTGCTGATTTACACGCGCTGCTGGTGAAGTTGTTGCAACAGGAGGCTGTCCTATCCTACTGTGACTGCTCCTTTCTAGTCCAAGTTTTCAAGAGAGGCTTATGTTCCGAATGCGTAAATCATGGACAGATCAGACTGATGTCAATTGTCTCCATATTTTTTCCTTTTTTCGTTACTAATAGACTTGCTGACAACCGTGAAAACCAGATTCGTGAGAAGCAAGCCAGGTTTCCTATAGTTTTCGGCTGCACCGATCAATTTTTGGAGCACCGTCACGTATATTGGCAGCCCACGGTTGTCGTGTTTTTCTACATCGGTTGATTGGTGTGCCGTTTGGATCTGTCTACTCAGGAATGGCGTGTCCATCATCATCATCATCATCATCATCAACAGCAGTACATCAGCCATTTGAACTGATGCTTCGCTGCCATACAACCAAGAGGACCTATGAAATAAAGAATTAGAAGAGGGAGAGAAGGGGCACTTACCTGAAAACCTTTATTCCCTAAGCAAACATTCAGCGTCAAGGCGCATACATCTTATTTAAACAACATACCGTCACAAACAGCTGGCTATCGTGCAAAGATAAGGCGGCATTGGCGAGACGGCTTCTTTGCGGCTTTCACTGCCCCGCGTCATAATCAGCCATTACTCCGCAGATAACTCAGCACCACACACGCTTTAAACAGGCAATCCGATTAGGAGACGGCAGCAGACGCGCCACTGGTGTCTACTGCGAGACATGTCCTGTAAAGTCTCGAGCCGAGTACAAGGCGAGTCACGTGAACTCCAGCCCGGAAGGCGAGACGGACTGACGGCACCTAGTTTGGTCCTCAGTGGCTTTATTTCCCGCTGCCAAGTCAACTTCTGTCCATCTCGAGCTTTGTGCCACCCTACACCTGGAAGACTAAACGAGACCCTCCTAGGTAAGCGGTGACCAGGCATAAGTACTACTGTCCGGGCCAACGCAACTTATTCAGTGCTACCTGTTGTTCTAGGGAATTAGCATGATTATCACTACCAAGTACTCGCGTACGCACATCATCGTTGCGGACACGCTAGTGCCATCAGACATTGGCAGTGCTTCGCAGACAACCATGATCATGCATTATACACGTCAGCTAGACGTGGGAAACACCTCAGCTACTGTTCCGCAATACATAAATGAAAAAGGATAATAAATACAAAAGTTGCAAGCCAACTGAGCTAGCAGCAACGGATAGACATCGTTCCGGTAAGCTACCAGCCGGCTACTAGGAAAAAAGATAAATTATTGTTTTTTTCCGCTAAGAAATGAGATGGTAGGTGGAGGGGAGGCTAAAACGGATGGGGAGGGACAAAGAAATTCACAGCAGGAACGCCACTGAGGTCGGCTCCTTGCCATGTCAGCAAGTGTATCCAGCCAAACGTGTTCATGGCCATTCGGACCCCAACCAGGCAGCCGTGACGCTCCAACCGAGGCCAGCACAGAATTAAGGGTCTTCATTCCCCTTGACCAAGTCATCGCTTGGCCGCCCCTCTTCTTATTCCACCCACATCCCCAGTGAGCAAACAACGCATGTCGTGGCAGTCGGTGGGCTGGCATGCGCAACACGTGGCCCAGCCATCGGAGCCTGGTGCGTGAAATGACGGTGCTGAGCGGTTCAGTTCCTTTTCCTGTGCCGTAAACAAGGCATCGAACACGCTCGTTACTCACGCGGTGTTCTCACTAGATGTGAGCCAAACTGCGAAGGCACCGATGGTCGAATGTAACCAGCCTCTTTATGTCCGCTGATATCAGGGGCCAAGTTTCGCAACCGTACAGTAAGGTCGAACGTACCGCTGCATTGTACACTCTACCCTTCAGGGCGAGAGTAATATCGCGCCGCCACCATAAGTGGCGAAGGTTAGCAAAAGCGCCTCGAGCTTTTGCTATACGATTCGTGATCTCGTCTTCGATCCCAAGGGCGCTGACAACTTCCCAGGTAGCTGAATTTTTGAACGACTTCTAGCTGATCCCCACCAACGGTCAGCGTACGAGGCGATCCCTGCCATTCTTGGAGGAACGCTTTGCATTTCGATGGTGCAAAGCAAAACCCGAAGCGGCTGTCAGCCAGGGCTAATCTGGCCAGCGCGGCTTGGCACGTC